TCGGACTACGCCCATCACTCTAACTCCTGTACACAAGGATCAACAACAGTGACCCACGAACACAGCGAGTTATACGAACCTCAGCACAGCAGTCCCGTACGAATAGAAATTGTAATACTCGTAAGTGTCTTAAGTGTCTTATTATTACGACTTCTGTGCCCATGCGCTACCACTGCGCACCACCAAGGCAGTATTTTTTATTATCTGTTTTATGTCGGGGTGTGATTTGTTTGTAATACATGCATATATAAATTTAGAAATACATTAGTATGTTTATCTGTAATCTGGTTACCATAGTACTTCTCTGCCTAGTTTGAGATGAGTTGTTATTGTTATTTTTGTATACACCTAACTGTCTTACCCTCTAAGTATTCCTTTGTCTAATGTTTATGAAACTTGCTTTTCCCCATATCCTGTTTACGTTACTATAGATTTTCTCTATCCATTTTGGGTTTCATTAAAAAAAAAAAATTGCGTACCCACATATAGCAACTTTGCAACTTAAAATGTGTTAATAAAAATTTCATAATGATCTGTTTGCTAATAACACATAAAATCGTAACAAGCTCATATTTACAATATATGATATTAGTAAGGGTAGCACCGGGGAGGCACACGACAGAGCATCTAATGGCGTTACGTGTAACATGTACGAGCATGTCCTGCAACGTGCACGTGTATCACATAAATATGAACAAAGATAGCTTTTAACTGGAACTGGTATAAAGTAAAATCTATATGCATAAAAGAAGAAGCTAACAGACTGATTCAGGGACTGATCGATCAAGGCACAGCCTCAACCGCTGGATGTAGAAGCATTAAATTTTGCACAAATGTTCCTTAGGTGACGCAGGTGTGCACTAAGAAAGGATTTTTCAAAAGCAAGGGGTGCAAAATTGGAATTGGAAATTTAAATGCAATTTCCTTATTTCGTTTTCAAATTCACAGTAAATACTCTTTTAAAAAAACTTAAAACGTTGTTACTAATTTTTCAAAACTATCCTTAATAACGGGTGCAAGTTTGTATAGGAAACTATTTTTTTAACTTATTCAATAGTTATAGTTTCTATCAAAAATAATAATAATTTACAACTATTTTTTAACTTTTCAAAACGTCTTTCGTCGCCTGTTCGAAACGCTTTCTGGATCTGGACGAGATTCGGCACAAACATTAAAGTCTAGAATAGCACAGAGACTACTACTTTTCTCGGCCAAATTTGTTGACCAATTGACATTTACTAGAGTGAAGCCGTGGACAAAAGCTATTCAAAAATATAATTCAAAGAAAAAGGAACCAAAAATTATTTGGAGTAAGTTAAGAAGTTCAAAGGTTGTATTTATACAATTAAATTAGTTAGAAAACGTACATTGCACCTTCTACATATCGGGCACCCAAAATGTGGCCTGCTAGACGCCACCCTTTCTTGGGGATGTAATCGTTCTCAGACAACGAAAGAAAGTAAAATATGGTAAGGAAAACGAACAAAGCGAAGTGAATGAGACTTCGACTGCAGCATGTCGAAAACTATGACTTATTACATGGGATGCTAAAATGCTTTCATTTAATAATTAAAAAAGTTACGTCGATGAAATTTAATTCGGCGCCTTTTCTGACATTACACAGGGCATTTACTTCTGGTCTATTGCTTTGTCTTTGTTTTTAACTCCCGACGGGAAACGAGGGGTGTTATAAGTTTAACCTGTGTATTTTTGTATCTGTCTATCTGTCTGTGGCATCATAGCTCCCGGACGAATAGACTAATTTTGATGTGTCTTTTTTTGTTCTTAGCTATAAATATTTAAGATCATTAGTTCCTCTCCTAGGTGAAGGGTCTTACTAAAATCCACAGGTCCGATTGTTCTGAAATTTGTTATACTGTTACTTTGATGGTATTTCCACGACATGATAACCTGAAACTTACTGCTGCATCAAGTCTTTAGGATAGCCAACTCCTTAGAACATTACAGCAAATGTACCATGTTTGCGTTTATTAGTACAGTCTCAATAGCAGTTGTTGTTTTTTTAAGTTTTCTTTTGTGTCGGGGTTTTTTTCAATTTTTAAATTAATTCTTATTTATTTTATTGTTATAGCTCAGTGCTGTGCTGTAAATTCAAGTAGGTCATAGGTTACAATTGCCATTGTTCATAGTTAGTCAGTAGTAACTCTAACGTTGTCATTAACTCAGAAAAATTAGAGCACAATTTAAATGATCTAGTGGGTTACTTGTCTATTTTGGCCACTTCCATTTCCAATACATCTACGTTCCATCTGCAGATATGTAATAACAAAACGTCTACTGGTATACGTTCAGAAAATTAATTAGCTAAGCCGCCATACATTCGCGACGACACCCTTGAAAGAAGAACTGCATATTCTGTACATCTAGAATATGATGGATGGTGATGAGATTTGTACTGTTGATAAACTGAATTATAATTTTTATGTAATTATCATATTTTTAGAACATTGCTAAAAGTTTTTTTTTTATTGTTACAACTGCAATAATTAAACGTTCAAGAAGTATGGTCAACAAAACGTGTTCAAACGGTTCTTACTCAAAAACGATGAATTTAAATCAATATTTACAAGTTAGCTCACCAGCGTGTTTGGCAATTACAAACAAACATTTTTTATTACCAATGTTGACTGTACGGATTAGACGAAATAATAAATTAATAAATTATTTTAAATTATCTAATTAAAGGAAAGGGTCTAATAATTTTTGTTCAAACTGAATTATTTATCTACTACAAATGTTTACTGAAACCAAAAACATTTTGTTGTAATAATAGAACAAAAACAACATTCTTGCTATTTAGAAACGTCTGCAGAAAAATATTTACGATTTACGAATATAATGGGAGTGTGAACATAAGAATTACGATAAGATACCTTTGTTAACTTGTTGACAGCAATGACAACTCATTTGTGACAGCCAGCTGTCATGGGTATTGAGTCAGTGCAGCCTAATTATGTAAAATTAAAATTTAAATAACTGATCTGATCTGATAATTGTAAATAACAGACTGTTAACTGTAGTTGTCGATGATATAACCAGTCAAATAAATACAACAATAATTCCTAACTAAGTTCTGCCGATTTTTTGAAGCAGTATCTTCAAATGATCCCACGAAAATACTAATGGCAACTGGCCACCAAGGTTATACGCTTTTGGGGTTATGTGAAATCATGGATATATACAAAAGAAAAGCAGAAAAAAAAATACGATCTCAAGAGTAAGATCCAACGCGTCATCTGTGAAATGCTGCTACGTCTGTGTCATCAAAAAGCCATGGAAAGTTCCACGGAAAGAACAATGGCCTATCATTAGAGCTGCGGGGGCCATTTGAATACGTCTTATAACAAAGACATATAAAATTGTTTTTACAGATAAAATATCTACTCTATCGATTCCTGAGACGAAACAAAATGTTTACCGCCAACATTTCAACTAATAATTTATCATGTCGCTGTTTATCCCTCATAAATATTCCTTACAGAAAAGTATACACATTTTATCTCATCGTTACGCAGACTGAATTTTCTGTTAAACAATAATAGGACATTAAACTTTTATGATAATTTTGCCTTAAAGTTGACGTGCCCTGATGAAATAAAAGTGTAAATAACGAAACATATTTGTTTATTCGCCATTGCTACAGTAAATATAAATAGACCTTAAAGGCCTGTTCACAAGGAATAAATTTCTGAACGGGATTACATTTCGGCATTTAAAAAAAATTACAGTTTAAAACATATTGGTGTTTAACTCACAATAAGTGTACGGGTTGTTAATTGATTGGCTTTCTTGATCGTCTCTAGGAAATTTAACAGTGTAGATTTGCAAAACAAATGTCGAGTTTTGGTTCTGCCGGGACCAAGACCGACACTGCCCTGCAATCCCCATATCGAGCTTCGATTTGTTGTATTTTTATCTCCTGCTGTCAGTACATTAAACTTTTCAATTACTATGCTCCAATAAGAACAAATCCTCTACTGATATATTCAACTTACCTTATGTAAGAGTTAAGATAAAAACTTTCAAAATCATAGGAAATTGTTTGAAATAGGTTTTCTGCTACAACTATGTAGTTGAGAATTCTATAGCTTAAAAACTACAGCCTACTTTTGTATGAACAAGCCGTAATGTTAAAGATGAAGGTAATTGCTATAAAATGAACGTAAAGATGTTTTGCTGATGCCGAATTGAATGAAAATATGGCTTTCAATGTTTATGCTTGCGTTACGAGCTGTTCAACCGTTACGACCTGTTATGTTCACGGGAGTGAATAGAAAAGATATGGATAAAGGGAGGGAAAGTAAAAGTTCTCAGGGCAATGTTTGTTGTTTTATGATCTGGATAATGCGTGTTAAAATGCCTAACAGCCTGAAACATTAAGATTCACCTATGTATACATTATTACATATACATATACAAGTTGAAGCCATGATGTGAATGTATTACGCACACATTTGCTTTCTAAAATAATAATACTCATATAGTCCCCCTCACGTTAAAGGAGGTAAACTTATTGCCGACAACGTGGCATGGCAGAAATTAAAGATTGGCTAATTGAAATAGCCGATCATTAATTGCCACATTTAGCTTTTTTTATAGATTAAAAAGAAGTTTTTGAAGAATTATACTGCACTAGGTATGTACTAATGCTGTAAGAGATAGGAATAAATGAGTAACAATAATAGTAGTAGGTAAGTTATAAGTATAGCCCTCGTAAAGAAAATTAATTCTAAAATCTACAGTTCCAGAGGTGATAACTCAAAGCGGGGCACTATTTAAATAAAAAAAATTGTACAAAAATTATTATAATAACAATCATTTTAATGTAATCAAAATCAACAACAACATATAACAACAACAATAACAAAACACAACAACAGCATACAATAAATAAATCAACTACAACGTGAATTCAGTTGAAAATGACTTAAAATTATGTTACAAATACTCGTATGTACAAGGCACTTAGCAAGACGGCATTAATGACTCTTGTGATGATGAATGGTTTTATAGACTGGAATCTTAACAGGATAAGGTTGAGGCACATGCACGGTGACAGTCTTCTCTACTCTGATGGGGACGTGCTTCTCAACAGGGTAGGGCACATGCTTGACGACAGGGTATGGCACAACCTTCTCAATGGGGATTGAGATTTCAGTCTCAACTGGTACAGCTACAGGCTTGTTGACTGGTACCTTGACAGGGTAAGGCTGAGGTACACCAATGAGAATAGGTTTTGGTACGTTAATGTGAAGGGTCTTGGGGATCGGGTATGTCACATGTTTGTAGTGAGGGATCTCTACTGGGTGTTCTTCGTCAACGTGTTCTCCTACAGGAATAGCTTCAGCCTGAAATCCATTGTCACCGTGACCATATTCATTACCGGCATCTTCTAGGTGGAAAGATTGGCCACCAAACCCGTGACCGCCATCTCCTTGATGGCCTGATTGTTCCTGACCATGATGGTTTGATTCATGAGCAGCTTGCAAATAAGAGTCCCCGTTAAAATCTTGACCCCCTTGTCCACCATGTCCATCAAACTGAGCATGACCTCCTGAAAAATCTTGTCCACCAAAACCTTGACCATTAAAATTATGGCCTCCAAAATCTTGAAAACCTTGGATATTTGCTGAAGTGTGTTGTTGTCCACCGGCGAAATCATGTCCGAAATTGCCAAGATTGAATCCACCAAGGTCGTGACCCTGACCGCCACCCTGGCCGCCACCGAAGTGTCCTCCTCCGTTAGCTTGTGCATTGAAATCGTATCCAGAAATTCCACCTCCATGTCCACCGTCTCCACCTTCATGGCCCGCATCTCCTGCTACCTCGTTTGAGTAGCCTCCTTCTAATCCGGCCTTGCAAGAGGCAACTGCCAGCAATAAACAAACCTGAAACGATTAAGGCATAAAAAATATTTTTTTTGGGTGTAAAATTTAGCTAACTATTACAATACATGTTTCTATATTTACAATACAAGTTTAGATACAATTTTTGTATTAAAATACAAGAAATTAGGTTTATAGGGAACGAAAAATATATGGAAATGCGACAAAAATTTTGTGCAATCTGTGCAAGAAAAAGCTTGTTGCAGTAAGTTCTATTTCAAATTAATCTCATTAATTCGTTGTCAAAACACAAATCTTGCCTCATCTTCGATATTTTTGTCTTTTTAAAATTTCATCAGTCAAAATAAGCAAAGATATTAAATTAGATATTTTTTTATTTCATTTCAAGTAACCGTATACATTAAACTAATTTATTGAAATCAGTCTTTTTCCTCGACAACGAAATAATTTAACTGAATACTGTTTTAATATAGTCAATTGGCAGTGAGGGACCGACCGCTTTAATTACAAACTCGTAATAAAAATACTGGAAACAACTTTCACAATTACAGTGGAAACCTTTTTCAGGCCTGAATTCGTGAATAGACTTCGTAACATAATCATTTTAATCCTTTTTAGTATTGGCTATATATAACATTGAAATACTAGAATATATAGGTTTTAATATTTACTACAGATTCATAACTTTTTCTTAAATAATAATAATATTCTGTCACATTCACACAACGCCATCTAGTCCCAAACTAAGCAGAGCTTGTACTATGGCTACTAGACAACCGATATAAATACATATATACTTTTTTTGGTAAATACATACTTATTATACATAGAAACACCCAGACCAAATCAAACATTAAAAGTTCATGAACACAAATGTTTGACTTGAGCAGGAATCGAACCCGCGACCTTTGGAATAGCAGTCCGTTACACAAACCACTAAGCCATCCGGTCGTCAAATATTTTAAAATATTTACAAAGAGAGAGATAGAGTAAATGCAATTACTTCTAACGGTTACGCTAACCACTGTAATTTAGTGACCTTTATTCTTGCTGATATCTTTATTCGTAATACCTGAATAAGATGCTCTGTGATATGTAATAAGGACATAAAGAATGCAAAAGCAGTAGTTACATGGAAAAAACAAATCCTCCTCTCTCGCACGTATAATAATAGAATAGCAATGACATTAAGGTACATTTTATTCTTTAACTTTGCCTCTATTATTGTATACCTTATTCATAATTAATACAATGTAAATACGTACATAGGTATGTCTAATACATTTATTTATTGAAAGAGGATATAGGACGATAGAGAAGAATGAAAGAAGAACACTAAAATTAATTTGAGAAAGGGGTAAAAAGATAAGATTTGAAGAGTAGCACATTTCATTTCGTCTATAGACTCATAATAGTTTATAAGTGAACTAAGGTATGTTTGCAGTAGTAGTCTGCTGCTTCTACAAACGCCTTAGTAAGTGAATGTGGTTCTACGAGTAACCACATTCACTTATCTAAGTAATAATTATCTTTACATTCACGGCTAAACTAGTAAAAGTTTAGTTTATTCAAAGTGCTTTTATTTTTTGCCGCACTATACAATCACTAAGTAATGTTGATACAAATAGTCTTCTATTGCCACTCGAATGCCTTACATCTTAACGATATATTATTATTTTATTTTAAAGGCACAATTTTTTATTTACCTAACTGAAAGTAAAATATTGGTTAAACTTTCGTAATTAAATATATAAATTAATAATAATAATCTTCTCACATCTCACAGCACACACAGCCTGTAGTAAGCAAACTGCTGATAAATATACTTATTTTAGAATATTTTATTTAAAATATATTATATTTCTAAATGCATACATAATTTTAGATAAATTACACCCATAGACAGAATAAATGATAGTGCTCACTACTACTACTTAACTAACTCACCTATCTACCATATTGCTTAAGTGTTGGTTGATTAAATATCTAATTAAAAAAGTTTTAACTCGTTATTGATTTTAGTGATTCATCTAAAATATTTCACTGAGTCATAGCCTAACGATCAGCGGGCAAAGTGAAATAAAGCTTGAGGATTTTAATATATAGGATATTTTACTGTTTCTATTTGTCATATCAAACTAAATGAGTGTCCAACTTCATAAAAAACATGTCTGTCTCTAGAATGCAATTTTCTATCTATCGGATATCCTTACGGCCGGTTTGGTAGACTAAAACCGCACGCGCCGCCGCGCTGTCTCGGGCACCACTAGCCGGAGAACCAAGTGTGACATAAAAAGGTAATTCATGGTACCCGACGGAGAATGGTGTCTACCCCTGGTCTATCCCGAGTGCAAGTAACTATATACCTACTATGTTACTTAAATCTATATATATATATATGAAAATGTTAAGTTGGTTTGTATACGCATCAAAAACTCCAAAACTTCTGCTCCGATTGAGCACCAATTTTGTCACGATTTACAAACTTCAAAGATTGTTTATAATATCTTATCAATGCAACCACAATGTGCAAAGCATGACAGAATACAGCTAGTAATTTATAAATTCGTACAATAGCAGACGCTAACTAATATATGATGATAATAGCTGTTTACATAGTAATGGCTGTTTACATCACATTATGTAAAAGTAAATGATTCTATGTTACCCTTATTTTAACTCTTACGAAACATATATAACACTTCCTGGTCTAATTCAGTCATTTGTCTAAATGACTTGTAAAAAATGAGGCGACGGTAGTACTTGTCTTAATATAGGTTTAATTACAGCTACCCAGGACAACAGCACTGCAAAGAGAAGGAAAATTTGAAACAAACCATATACCAACCCGTCTGGCCAGCATGGTATAGTAGGCCAAAACCTCCTTTCTAAGGAGAGGCCTATGTCCAGCAGTGGGCTGTTATAGGCTGTTAATGATGATGATGATGACAGCTGCCCAAACTTCTTTCTGTATTTTCTCACTACTTTACTGAGAGAAATACTCTACTTGTACAATTTGCAACTAAGCACTGACAAATGCTACAATAAGTTGTCAAGTAACTATCACATTAAGATATAGATATACTAAATTAATCTTGAGCAGAAAGTTATCGTACATGCAAATTAAATTTTACACCTTTCAAAGATCAATTTCTACGGTCAGTGAACCTTGAAGCATAATAATAATTTTGTGAAATAATTCATAATTTGATATCGTATAGATCGGAGCAATAACCCTACAAATTTTCACATTAAATTATAATAAACCATTGGTATTCTATTTCTTGAGTTGATTAAACCATTCAATTGAGGAATATGACGCGTAACGAAAGAATATTTGAATTCCTAAATATCAACAAGACTATAACTGTTCCATGCTTATTGTTCTTAAAGAACAAAAACAATAGCTTCGTAACTAGCATAATAGAATGACAACTGTGTATTTCATTGTCTTTAATAATGGTGGTGAAGACAATTGTCGGAGTGGAAATAAAAAAAGACCGCTCATACCAAAATGTGCGTTCACGCTTCAGTGATTCCGCCTTTGTGCCATTGAACTTTCTGACTTTATACAATGTCACATTTATGTAATAGAACGTAATAAATAACCTATTATATCAGAGAAAATTGTGTCAGAATCAGTTTTGCAACTTTTACTGGGGAAAAAAGAAGTTTAAGACAAGGAGTTATTACTTGAATAAATTTCTCAATCACTTTGTTCCCTGCAGTCGACTATAAAGTACGTAGTTTATCGCTTTGATTTCCACGGCTGTTGTAAATCTAGTAAGAGACCATCCCTATCTCTTTAATAAGACGTTTTATGCCTTACTTAAAGCTTAGGATTAAATTCTTCTCTTTGGGTATTTACAATACAAATAGACAAAACTATAGTAAACAGCCAAATCAATATGTAACATTATTTCAAACTACACTTGTATTAGTTCAGTTTCACTAAATAAAAATATCTGAGGACGTAAAACATATTTTGATGGAATTTGTTCGGAACCAATAAATCAGAGAACGAACGCCTGCTTAGTTATAAGTTGATGGACATGGAAACATCCTTTGACAGATATAGCTAAAGTTATTTATACTTTGTATTTTAAATACTTAAGATTAGTTTATACAAAAAATAGCTACATATAATGGAGCGACGTGGTCATAATTGCGGCTAAGCTCCGTAAAACAAGATTTAAAATAGATGTAAAAAAATATCTGAGATGTATATTTATTCACAGAAGCCGATAATTTTTAATTCTAAATATTAAATGATGATTTATTGCTTCTTTGTTTTTTTCGCACGATGTGTTTCGTATATTTTTTTATAAATCAGACATTCTTTTCTTTTTCCTTAACCGTAATAAGACTGAAATAGTTTATTGTACAGCCAGATCTAGTCAGGACAGACAATAAAGAAGTGTGCAGCAAAGAATCACATTAGAACAAAATAACAAGACTGAGTCCGAATTATTTATTCATACCAAATTACTATCCGTCTGATTAAATCATCACATCAACAGCTTTTAATAGTCCACTTCTGAACATAAGCCTCTCCATAGAAAGGAGGTTTTGGCCTACTACTGGTTAAATAATATTAAGTAAATGAGAAGAGAGCTTCATTAGTTTAAAACATTTGGACTTTCTTTTCAAAGTCAAACGCAAATATTGCGTTAACTTTTTATAATTTCTAGGTTTCGTTGTAGCAAATAGACTATAGTAATGGTATAGTATATTTTATATATTCATTAAAATTTGGCATGTTGTTGAATGTTTTAAGTTTGCCGACAGCAATTTAACATTTTAATGTTTAATTTCTAACTACAATTAGATTTAGATGTAGATTAAGATACAGATATACCAAACCAAAAGATTACCAAATGATTTCATACATTTAGGCGTGTAATCTACTTTAGATAGCAGAAGTTGTGCGCACACATTATAAGTGAAAGGTGTTTTATGTCACACAACTGGTCGGTGTAAGTGAAGGTATCCCTTTTACTTGAACCGGTGTGGAATAGCTTAGGAAACATAAAAGTTTATTAATAGTGCATTGTTGCGTCACAGGTAATAGTGGTTATATAATAGTATTTGCTTGTTTCCTTTTTCGATGCTTAAGCAAAAAACTACCTTACAAAGAGGCATTTTTAGACGTATTTGATCCGTCAGCATAAAAATCCCTGACAACTGTGGTTGGTTACTTTTATTTTGTTACGTCATTATTTTGGAACTAAACAAAACCAACTCATACAAACATACTAGTTACAGTAAAAGTGAAAATACATCGAATTTTAAACCAAACTGACCAGCAATAAGGAAAGACGATAATATACTTTATTAGTGATAATAAACTTTATAAAGTGGCAGTAGCAAAGTCAAATTAAGCCCTATCTTTTGCCCTGTTTATAATGAGAGCCATAGTGATATTGACTTAAGAAGTTAAATTTTTATTCCCTTTTTAAAATTAAGAGAATTAATTAGAGAAGGAAAACTTGACACAAACCCTATACCAACCCGTCTGGCCAGCGTGGTATAGTAGGCCAAAACCTCCTTTCTAAGGAGAGGCTTATGTCCAGCAGTGGACTATTATAGGCTGTTGATGATGATGATGATGATTTTAAAATTAATTATTAAAAAAGAAGAATTGAATGAGGTTTTAAGATGATCATTGTTTAAGTAGCGGATGAGGGTATTAACTCTATAGAGAATCTCTATGATGATTTCAATTGAAATTTGATAGACGAACTATTTGTAATTGAGATGGTGTGAGATGAAATTAAGCAAACAGATGATCTTACTATAGAGGGAATTATAAATCAGGATAAATGCAAGAATATAAATAATACTATTGGTCCAATAATACAATCTTCTATAGACACATAGTATTTTAAACTATTATTGGCGTGTACAATAATTTGCGAAGTTTAAATGGCACGGTACCATATTATAATAATATATCTCACACATCACACTCACAGCCGTCTGATTCTAAACTAGGAGAACCTGTACTATAGTAACCAGACTGCTGATAAACATACTTATATATTTTTAAATAGATACATATTGCAGATAAATTACAACCCGACACGGAACAAATGACCGTGCACATCACACAATATTTGTCCTGGGTGGGAATCGAACCCACGACCTCCGGTTTAGCAGTCAGGATCACTAACCACTAGACCAACAGGCCCGTCTATCAATGATAACTGCTGTAATCCTTTTTGCTTGTAAAATAAAGAAAACGAAACCTAATTGCACTTTGGTGTTATTTAAACTAGAATAGTGTAATTAGAATCGTGTAACAAAATGATTTTGCAACAAAAACGGAACTTATCCACAACCGAAAGTATATCAACAAAACTGTTATTTTGCGATTATAATCAGCTGTCTATTGTAATGTAATGTTTGTAACAATATTTCATTACATGATGGAGTTGAATAATTGTGGTGACTTAACCGTGTTACTTGAAATGGAAAAAGTAGTTTTTGTCGCATACCTTTTGAAATACGAAATTAAAATTTCAGTGTTTTTGCACTCAGTGTTTTATTTAAGGTTTACTTTTAATGAATTAATGTAAAAAGTAATATCGGTTTTTGTAGTCTTTTCAAGGGTTTACAGGAAGCAATATGTAAAACAAAAATATTTAGTTATGTTAGTAAATGACACTGAGGATCAATATCATAATGTAGTTATAAATATTTTCAATTATTTATATTAAGCTCAGGAGATTAGGTGTTCGATATCCTGAAGAAAATTATTAATATAACGGTTAAAAGTAGATATCTAGTGATATTATTTTACATATAATTATTAAAACAAGAATAAGCACGCGCCAGGCCATACAAGATGAAAACCATAACTTTCCCTGAAATAAATCTCATGACCATTCCAGTCCTATGTGGTTTAAGCGAGTGGCTTAGTATTTTAATACTATAAATCGTAAACTTTTTGGTCAATAAAGAAAAAAAAAGTCACCAGATCCCAGAAATCAATTAGTAAGCATTTGAATGAACATCCGGCTCATTTAAATTGGACTTTTTGTGCGCGAAATATCTGGTTGGAAATACTTTATACTTTAAATATTAAACTTTGATTAATATTATAAGTATGCAAGCAGATTATTTTTAATCTTGGAAGCATAACGCCATTTTTATAATAATTGTCTGACTGCCTGCCTTTTTTTAAAGACAACTCTGGCATTAGGAATATATCTTTCGCGGGGGACTTTACAACCATACACGAAACGTACACAAAGAACACCCAGACTCAGAATAACAATTTGTGGAGAACACAAAGGGTCGTCCTATGTGGGGTTTGAACCCACAACACTCGGCGCAGTAGGAAGCGGCGTGGCGACCGCTTAAACCACTACGCCATCCGTGTAGTCGTTTTATTATTAATTATATGCTACCTTCTAGTAAACCAAAAGTTAAATCCCTTTTATGATATAGGTAACGATAAAACTGGTTACGAAACAGTAAAGGCTATAAACGGTTACTTAAAGCGCACTACAGTCATTTGTCACACATCACGCACTATCACTTTGTAAATAAAAATCTAATGCACTTACAAAAGTCTTCATGCTGGTATCGCTTAGTATGGCGTTTCTGCCGTCCTGGGTTGCAATGATAGTTTTGCACAAATGCACAAACATTTTTATAGCGACCGGAAGAGACTGGCTCTGAGAGGAGCGTGGTAGAAAGGTATAGTGGAGTGAAGAGAGCTGTTGAAACCACTTTTTTGTTTGTACAGATTTCAATTAGTTTTCATGAATAGTGTGTGGTTTTGTATTTTTTAGCTTTTATTTGAATTATTATAATACTGTATTACGGAAACATAAGTTTGAGATTAAGTTGGCTTGTCATAGTGACAGTGTATCAGGTTCTTGCCCTAAGTCAGCCAAAAATTTTATTTGATTTATTAGCAAGATAGAAAACTTCAGTAAACTTCCTTCTTTATAGAGTTAATAATAGCTTATTAATTGTATTGAGTGTTATTCGAAAAAGTTTTTTTTTTAACAGTAACTAGTATTTTTTTTTACATATAAGTCCCTAAAAATATTTTTTTCAATCTAGGTATTGAATTAAATAGTTATCTTTAATAATTTGCCTAGGAGTAACAAATTATTAACATTAAATGTGCTTATTTTTGTTATATGATATTTTTATTTTCTTTACAATTTTTAAACTTTTAAAAATATGTATATTGTTGAAAAGTCTTTCCAAAACTAACTAAAATTACTCCGTTATTGCTACGGCGCTCTATTCAACCAAAAACATTTAATCGAAAATGGAAATTTGAGATTGAATAATTAAGCTGTCTAGAAATACACAAGCCAAAATATTCAAAGCTCGTCGTAATCAAAGTTACATTATCTGAACCAACTAATGAATATAAATAAGATGGTCAAATACAGAAGACCTTAATAATTTTACCCGGTCAAATAAAGTTTGAATTTAGATCATTTGAATAAATTCAAAGTTTCATTCCTTGTCCCTTACCGAATTATTGAGTTGGTAGAATGTTGGAGCCACAAACAGACTATTGCTGAATAAATTGTTTATCTACATAAATAAAAATGAATCGCCAAAATGTATCTAGGCGCATAACTTCTGAACAACTGAACCAAATTGGATAATTTTCTGTGTTAATTTTTGTCAGGACAAGGTTTGTATAAAAGAAAATTAAAAAAAAGGAATTTACAAACTACCTCACTTAATAAAAATAATTTGATCGATTTAAAGATTGTAATTGATTATGACTGAAGTTTTAATAGTATGTGTTTAGAAATAACTAGAAGAATCTTAATATCTAAAAACATGAAGAAAATACAACACTTCACCTAACAACTTATAAACACGTGCACGAGCATTCTTTAGTAAGAGTTAGATAGCATTTATGCCACAGTTAGAATAATTTTGGATTTTTCAATGGTCAGATGATGATGATTTTTCAAAGCTTAAATCTGAGAAATAATGTTATCTGACGTTTCACGCATCAGTTAGAGATGTTATCTGTAGAATATCACTAATATTGATTTTTGTGTATTTGTTTACATTCTCTAATATTTTTTGTAGTAAATTTTATATACGTTGCCCTTATTAAGTATTTAGGAGAAAAGAAAGGGTTTTTAATGAGAGATACGATAATAATAATAACTTCACACATCACACACACTGCGATCTGATTCCAAACTAGGCAGAGCCTGTGCTAGGGTAACCATAGATACTGATGATACATATACTTATATATTTTTAAATGCTTACACATTATAGGTATTTACAATAATATCACATAATTAATTGTCCTGGGTGAGAATCGAACCCAAGACCTCCGGGTTACTTACCGGCCAACAATACTTTGTGTGATGATGAGCATTTTCATTACAAGTTTTTAGCAAATGCAATTTCACGAAATTTAATGCACGTTTCTTAATTGATTCCATTTTATACGAAAGTAATACGAATAATAATAATATTCTAAACCACATTCACACAACGCCACCTAGTCTCAAACTAAGAGCTCGGAGCTTGTATAATGGGTATTGGCTACAACTGATATAAATACACATACTATTTTTTTTGTAAATACATACATATTGTACATAGAAACACCCAGACAAAATTTAATGGAAATGTACACAAATGTTTGAATAGAGTGGAAATAGAACCCGCGACCTTTCGAGGAGCAGTCCTTTACACAAGCCATTACACCATCGTTCACTGTCACTAACACCGTCAATAACTTTGTCTTATTATCTGACAGACAAGCAATGACAAGAAAAGTATGACACAAAGGTTGTCTAATAGTCTATTCGATTGATAAATAGCAAGATAAATTTATTCTCAAATTAGTTATCTGACAGTGTAATTGAGGATTGAAAAACCGGCCCAATTCATTTATTTTTTTCAAATTTCATCCACATCACTTTTCTTATAGTAAGTTTCGCAATAAGTGTTTTCTGTTGCTAATTATATATTTTAGAGTCTCTGCAATTTATATTCATCGATATTTTCATCAGCCATCATCTTTTTTTTTGACTTACTTACATTTTTCAAACTTACTGGATTGTTTTAGAGCCCCATACGTTGATTTTTTGTGTGTTGACAAGAAGGTTTCATTTTTAATGCCGATTGACTGGCGGCGTTGACTTGCGCGTTGAGATTATTGATCTAACTTCTATTATTCGTTGATCCTTATAAAAGGATATGATTATTAAAAAAAATAATTATAGCACAAGTTCTGTTACACTTAATTTCAAATATTTCATTAAATACAAGAATTGGTTTAGATATAAAATATGTTTTAATCGTAACTTGCACAGATATTTCAAATTGCATTATGAATTTACATACCAGCTTAGTTACTCAAATATCTTCTTTTTATTTATATTTTGGATAAAGTAACATTAAATAAATTATTTCTTCAACGTGGTATCAGCAACTCTACTAATATCTCGGGCTGTACCTCCTTTGGTACCAATTACCTTTATTTCTTTATCGTTCTTTTTTGTCAGACAATTATTTACTACAGATGTATTGACTTTTTTGAGGCACTTGTTCTGAAGAACTTGCTCAGAATTTGAACTGTTAATTGGGCAGGGTTTTCTCAAATATTTTTTGTTACTAAATAAATTAAGTAAATGTTAATCCTATATCACTTTTACTTGACTCTGTGGAAAATTGTAAATTTCTATTTTTAATTTTCAAATGAAACACCACACCACTTTCTGTAAAAATATATTTCTATTTAGGCCAATTGATGCCCGTTGGCGTATCCAAGCACAGGGTGGGCTTACGGACTTGTCCACTCGGAGTCTTTGAGCAGCTAGACTCTTAAACGTGCTTTAGTCTCAGTCTCATCTGAGACTTAAGGTATCCCTTATCTCAGCTTCCATACTCTTTCTGCTTTTCTTACCTTTAAAATTTACCTTCTAAGTCTGTACCGTAAGAAAGCGCTTTCAATCGTATGAACAATAAGCGTCAGATCAGCAGCCAGCCTTGACTCACCTGCTAAAATCATTTGTAATGTTACATATCGTACTGATTCCTCACAAAATATACTTATTTTCTACCAAGTAGAGTACAAATGCTGCTTCAGCATACATGGGCCTGTTCGACCAGAGCGATAAGTAATTCTTTTCTGCTTTCGATTGAATAAGTTACCTGAGGGATAACCCTTGGCAGCTACGCACTTGTCGTACAATTGCAGGTGTCAATAGATGAACTAGTCACTTTACTACCAGGTAACTCGTCTGCTCGTTCAACTTCGTACTTCCTTCCTCCGAGCCTTTCGCCGAAACTAGGTTGCTTAGCTTTAGGTATACGATACGGCTAATCTTTGATTCTTTACGTAGGGCAGTTTCCATACAAGATGATGACGTAGACAGACTTCAAAAACACAAGTACTAGGTAATATCGAAGTTCTGTAGAATGACTGTTATCGGATTTCATCAACCCCATAACGATTGCCACAGATGTTCCTATAGCAACCGGAACCGACGGCTTAACGTGCTCTCTAAGTCAGGGAGGGGTGTTAATTTGTTAAGAACACACCCATCCACAGACAGACCTGACTAGGATTGCTTTACTTTGCAATGTGTTACAAGCCTCCCTACACTATACTATACATAGCAATTTTCAAGTTACTCACCATGAAAATATGTCGTCTCAAACTAAGCTATATTTAAAACAATCTTTGTATCTTCCACTGTTGTTTTCAGAAGACAGAAAGTCTCCTTTGATGTAAAACTTACTTTCATATAAAGCACAATGCCATGTTAGGTACTCTCAAGGATCTCATCGCATATTCTGACAATATCATTGCGACTTTATATAAAGACTTTTGAATCCTTCGACTCTACCAGCTCATCTTAAGTCACATGCACATATCTAATGATGTAAAACTGTCTTAAATCTTAGTGCTCTACACGAAGAGCTTACAACAATCTTGATGATTTCCTTCCGTGATTACATGAGATTAAAATCTTCCTTATCATAGTAATAAATTAATCACTTATAGGATATAGTCACAACATAGCAGTAATCTCTAAGCATATTAATTTCATCCTTATCGCACGGGAACTAAATAGATTTTGTATTGTTGTAAAAACTTTTATGATTTTGGCAGGTGATACCTTTATTTTTAGAAATATATTTGTTGTAAGAGTTGTCCTTTATCAAGAATCAAACGAAATTTCAGTGTTTCTGGGATACCTATACACATTCCCCCCTCCCCCTTTTCACCACCTTAAAAGGATGATTGCTGGGATAAAAACTATCCTATGTCCTTTTCCGGGAATCAAATTATCTCTATACCAAATTGCATCTAAATCAGTTCAGCGGTTTAAGCGTGAAGAGGTAACAGACAGACAGACACGCTTTCGCATTTATAATATTATTGTGAAGTTTTCTGTCGTTAATATTGATTTCGTAAATCTCTCTATTTGGTAAGCATGATTAAATTATAGTTGGCAAAATGTGATGCTTGATACATCTGTTTACCTCTTTGGAGATACAGACGTGGATACATGCATTTTATCACATGCATGCACATTTAAATAACACTCATGGTTTATATGTAGTGAATTAAAATGTAAACAAACCGGTGACCGGATGTACACGGAAAGCAATACCGTCGAGTTCGTGTACCCTA